ACTGAAGGAGCCAGTGCTTCTGTATCCCGGTACACAAGTAAGTCTTTCCTGCATTGTGTTATTCAGTGCCCACACATGTTACACCATAATATGTTGTGAAACTTTATGCACTTTAGGAAGCAACACTGATTAAAATCAATTTCAAGTGCTGGTGTGCAAATGGATTAGACAATAGGTGAAAATTATTGGCAATTATCAAGACACACTCAATAAAGGAGTGGTTCTGCAGGTGGGGACCACCAACCACTTCTCAGTGCCTATGCTTTCTGGCTGATGTTATGGTCACTTTTAAATGTTGGTGGTGCTTTCACACTCGTGGTAGCATGAGATGGACTATACAACCCATCATGTGGCTCAAGTGGTGCCGCTCATCCAGGATGACGCATCAGTGCAAGCTGTGGCATGAAGGTTTGGGTTGTCTGTCAGCGTTGTGTTCAGAAGCTGGAGGCACTACTAGGAGACAGGCCACAGGAGATCCTTCCAGCCTACCGCCAGTAAAATTCACAACAACTCATTAAAGAAACTACTAAGAGAGTTTGAACAACAATTGATTCCCCTTGGGACCATTTTTTTTTGTTATTGAGTTGAACTGAATGCAAAGACAATGTATGTTTTCTGTTCAGTACACTGCTATTTTTCACTTACAGAGCCAAAGGTGGTCCGCACTCTGAATTTTGCAGAAATTACAACTTCCTCTATGTCTCTTAAATGGAGTAAACCAGAGGGAGATAGCTCCTTGTATTATATACAATGGAGTGATAGAAATAAAACACTGGAATCAATTGTGAATGACACAATGATAAATATCAATGATCTGATTCCTGGTGTGGAATATGAAATAAATGTTAACGCTGTTGCGGGTGATGGTAAAACTCAAGGTGCTGATCTCTCTGTGACTCGGTACACAAGTAAGTACAGATAAAAACATTTGCATGTTGCATTTTAAAAGTGATTCCAACATGAAACGGGAATATAAATGAGATAAAAGAGAAAATATGCAAAGACATACATAGAGGTGTCTTTTTATATCCTTCCATGATGTGAAGTCAGAGCTATACAGCACAGCAGAGTAGGCCTACCTTAGTGAACTGGATGTTTCAACGTTCTACCTTCTGGATTGAGTTTTTTTATTTAATTTAGTTACAGAGTTTTAGTCAACTAATGGTCTCTAAAGTCCCTTAATATGACATGTGCTATATAAATCAAATGAATTGAAAACTGAATTAAATAGAAGTAGCTTGAACTAATGGGTGAGGTTCACAAAATGGGTAATTGTAAAACATAATATTTCACTCATTTAGGATATTAAAGTCATGATGCAACACTCTTCCATTTAGATATGTGAAATTAACCATATCCATATCTAATTACCTATTACCTATAATAAGGTGTTAGTTTGTATTAAATTAATTTTTACCTTTGAACTTTCAATAATGGGCGTGCAGGCGGTCACTTAATAAATAAAACACGACCTATGTACAAAGGCCTTAGTCTTCAACGCGGCCGACCCAGGTTCAAACCCGACCTGTGGTCCTTTGCCGCATGTCTCTCTTCTCTCACACCCCCTTTCCTGTCAGCCTACTGGCGAAAAACCAAACCACTAGTGTCACAAAAACTAAAAAAAAAAAGAACTTTCAATCACAAAATAGTTCTTCTAAAGCTCTTTTTAACTTGTTCTTAGACATAAGTGAGGTTGAATTAAGCGTTATTTTAGTTACCATTTGTGTTATAATTATAGCTTTTTATGGTGTTTTTAAAGTCAGGGTGCTCTCTGATGTCCTTTGACAGACCCCTGTTTACATGGACAAAACTTTCTTCAACTGCATTAACAGGAACAGGCTGTTGTCTGTTCTGTTATTATGAAAAAAGAGTATTAATCCACTAAATTGTTTTATTTCCCTTAACAGGGCCTGTAAAACCTGAGAACCTGACGACTGGACCAATACATGTTAACCACATAACCATCCGCTGGACATTGCCTAAAGGAAGAGTTGACAAATATATAGTGGACATCTCAAATGGAGACACAGGCTATAAAAAGTCCAAGGAAACAAATACCACAGTAGAAACTTTCTCTGATTTAGACCCTGGAAGAGTCTTTATTATCACAGTCACTTCTGTAGCTGGAGACTTCAACAATACCTCTGACCAGTTGCCAGTTGCCACATGTAAGTTAGATATCTTTGACATGTTATCACATTTACTAAATATGCCATCTGCATGGAATAGATATTGATGTGAATTATACTTGCAGATGCAATTGTATTAAAAGGTTGCTTAATAAAAAAACAGTGTTTCCAACCCCGGTCCATAGGACCCACTGTGTTGTATGTTTTAGATATGTTTCTTTTCCATCATACCTGGTTCAATTAATTTCATGCAATTAATTAATTAATTATGATGACGAAGTGCATATATATATATATATATAAATTTTTGATATCAAACAACTGGTGCCTAATTTGTTTGCATATGTGCTATATTTACTTTTTAGATCCTACACCCCCTCAGGAAGCAAATATCAGCAAAACAAACTCTTCTTTGATGTTGAAGTGGTTGCCTCCAAAAAATATGGATAATGCTCCTGGCATTAGCTATTTAATCACCTACCAGGCTTCAGAAGTTGATAAGAATGAAATCAATCAGAGCTCCACAGAGAAGAATATTGATGGTCTTCAGTCTGGAACCTTATACATCATAAACTTAACAACCATTGGACCAGAAGAGCGAAAAAGCATACCTGTCATTCTTTCTGCTTATACTTGTAAGTTTCTTAGGTCAGCGATCTTATGCATAGTTACCTGGAGTGAAGGATATATCCAGCTCTTGAGATATAATGCACAAAAATTGAATGTGAAAAGCTTGTGTCTTTTACATCCTTTCAGTAAGCAGCAGGTGCTGATGTAGGATCCTTTCCATTAGCAAAGCAAACTCTAGCAGCCAAGTCATACCACAATAATTATTCTTGCTCACCCATCCGCGTCTAATATAATGTGTGTAATTTAGATTGTGCAAATACTAAAAAGTTAGGATTAGAATTGTAAATGCTTTTTAGTAAATTGTAGGTTCATAGGTTCATCAGTGGGTTAAAAACAAATTCAGGGAATACAGGAAACTCAGCTATTAAAGTAGATTACAAAGTAAAAAAAAAAAAAAAAAGGTATAAAAAAAGACCAGAATGTCTCCTTTGGGTCACTTTTTCTGGTTTCATATCAGTTAAAGCTGTTTGGAACTGGAATGGTCAAGAAAAAAGTTCATTTATGTTAGATAAGAGCTTCCCATTATTATCAGGAGTAACGTATTATATTATACACTAGCTTTACCAATACAGTTGTATGAGTAAATATTGCATTTTAATAAATATGTTGTTTTTTTCTGAGGGACTTAATTATACCCTTAGAATTACACATTTATTTCAAATTTAAATAAATGCTGTTTCTTTTTTCCTCTTTATTTGTTCAGTGCCTAACCCAGTGCAGAATGCAATGGCCAGACCCATTAATACAACCTCCATAAGGGTGACCTGGTCCCACCCAGACGGCTTAAAGGATTACTATCTTTACTCAGTAGAGACCTGTGAAAGCTCGGGAAATTGCACTGATATAGGGAATACCACAAACACCAGTTATGATGTTTTTGGTCTGGAGCCAGGTTCCAATTACAACATCAGCATCAGAACAATTGTTGACTCAGATTCTGAATCTTCTCCAGTGGAGGTGTCCAGTTACACAAGTAAGGATTTTGGGGACTATTACTCTCTGATTTCAGATAAAATGTTTACTTCTGCCTTTAAACTACTATAATTCTTTGCTTTTCCTGCATTAGTGCCAAAAGCTGTGACCAACCTGAATGCAAGCTTTGTGAACACCACGTTCATCCAGCTGACATGGACCAGGCAAACAGATCACAAGGCTTCCTACTCCTATCTGGTTGAAGCATTTCATGACAGCGGACTAGTTTCCAATTACTCGACACCTATTGAGGCCTTCCCCTTCGACAATCTGACCCCTGGAACCAACTACACATTTAAAGTATACACAGTTCAGGAAGAGGTCAAATCCACACCAGCAAGCATTTCAGATACTACAAGTATGTATTAAAATTTTCAAAATATTTATTATGTAGCAATAGTATTTCAATGTTTAAGAAATCTGTTTAAGCTGATCCGTGTTTCCAAGGACATTTTAAAGCAATCATAGTCAGTAGTTTCCTAGGTGCTCTGTTTTTTTTTTTTTTTTGTTTTTTTCCTTCAATCAATTCTTTTTTTTTGTAATAGTCTCATAAAACCATTCAACTCGTACTAATGGATTATTCACTCAAAGAACATTTTTTACATTTAAGAGAAGAGACAGAGGTCTTTTGCTTTACCAAAAATCTTGCTAAAGCAAAAATAATGTAAATATCTATAAATATTAAGTAACATAGACAGCATACAGCGAAGGGAAACAAATACACCAAAAAATGAACAGATGTACTGGTGCAGGTATAAAAACGAACAAAAGAAGAATAATCTAAAGCACTTTGAGCTGCATTCAAATGTATCCGTTGTGATTACAGTGAAACTGAAGATCAACAAACATGAGATTCATATATATACAAAAACAAGAGTGGAAAAGAAATGGGAAACTATATATCCATTTTCTGTCACACTTATCCCTGTTGGGGTCGCGAGGGATGCTGGTGCCAACCTCTAGCTGTTAATGGGCAAGAGGCGGGGTACACCCTGGACAGGTCGCTAGTCCAGGGTGGAGGGCAACACAGAGACAAACAGGACTAACAACCATTCACACACACACACAGGAGAATTTAGAGAAAGCAGTTAACCTAACAGTCATGTTTTTTGGACTGTGGAAGGAAGCCGGAGTACCCGGAGAGAACCCACACATACTCAGGGAGAACATCTTAACTCTATGAAGAAAGACCCCGGGCCAGGAATTGAACCCCGAACCTTCTTGCTGCAAGGCATCAGTGCTACCCACTGTCCGCTGTGCAGCCGAAAATATGTCACAAAAAATAAAAATCATAAAACTGTTTGTAAGAAAAAAGTTAACTGATGTTATTTAAAAAATTTAGCTAAAAACTTTGCAAGCAGTAGGTGATGATGGCGGATCTCTCAGGTCCCAGTTTAGTTTTTTGATTGACTGAACAAATAGGGAAAACAATTTAGAAAAAAGAATTTTTAAAGTTCTGTTTCTATGCAACCAAATTATGTAGAAGGCAGATAAAATATGTTGTATTTCATTTTTTTAGTATTTTCTTTTATGGAACTGATACTGAAGCCTACAATATCCACAGGATACCTTGCTGAGTAAAAGCATGTCTTCTACAATTTAGCTTTGCCTGATTTTTATTAGCTTCAACTAAAAAAACTCAACTAAAGACAATTGTTTTTAGGCTTAAACTTCTCCAAATCAATTAAAACTTTAATTATAAAAATTTAAGACTGCTACATTTCATAGCACTGTTAGCAGATTTTTAAAGGAGAATCAGACTTTACATGTGCATTTGATTTTAATATCCTTCCGCATCTATACTTTGTAGTCTGTCCAATCTGTTGTATGAAAGTTCAGATTAAATGAATGTTTTTTAGTCTTGCCTGCAAGCCGGTCAAGTTTATCATTTTTTCTTTCAGTTCCCGGGATGGTCACAGACATGTCAGCCATAGGAACCACCAACAGCATGTCAGTGAACTGGATAAAACCACATGGAGGAGTTTCATTCTACATTATAGAACTTTACAATGAAAAAGCCTTAGTGGACAAGGCAGAGGAGAATGAGACTCAACACCCTTTTCCTAATTTAAAACCAGGAGTGATTTACGATGTTAAGGTGATAACAAAAAGTGGATCTAAGGAGAGTAAAGAAGCAATAGTTTCCAATGCAACTTGTGAGTATCTTGAATGTTGAAACTATGATTGTTTGTTTTTTGTTTGTTTTTTCCTAACATCAATCTTTTTTTTAATACTGTATACAACTTGATTTATTCCTCTCCTTAGTTCCTAACCCCCCTGGCACCATCATGGTGGACTCCAAGGGCATCAACTTCATCAACCTGACCTGGTCGCTTCCAGCTGACATGGACCATGCTCAGTACAACTTCACTGTGACCTCTCTCAGTGGATCCCACTCAACTTCAAACAACTGGTTTGAACTGGAAAACCTTGCATCAGGAACCATTTACGAAGTGTCTGTGGTTACTGTTGGTGTAATGGGTTATGAGAGTACTGCACAGACGACACAAAACTATACAAGTGAGTAAACACAGCCAACCACTACTATCAGGGCTCAGTACTGTAAATAAAATGGCTTTAATTACAGGCACCTCTATGTTAAACTGTCATTAAGTTTTTATTTTTGGTTTTGTTTATATAGATTTTTTTATTCTAATTATAAATGCAATTTTAAGTTGTTAGAATTGGAATTTAATGGCATTAAGTTTTACAATACAGTTTTAGTCAAGCCTGCTTTTTGATGTGGGTGGTTATGGCTCACCACTTGCACTGCAAGAACGTATAAACAAACTGAAATATTGTATTAACTGCTTCTTAAATGATTCATGCAGTATTTTGCCTATTCTGTCACGCTGCAGTTTTGTTTTGGACCAAGATGAAGGGAAGCAGGGGCAGGAAGTCGTCTTTAGCTTTTAATGAAAAAATGTTGAACAGAAAACAAAGTAGGGAGTGGGAGCAAAATAGGAGTTTAAATACTGGGAGTGTAAATGGAGAAACAGTAGACCTGGCCTGATTAGTTGATAATTTGCAAGTGTGAGAGGAGATAACAAAGGGAGACTGAGGAGAGAGAGGCCCAGTCCCAATAATCACCCATACCCTAAGCCCCTTTATGAAGGTTGCATCCCAAACAGCCCCTAACCAGCAACTAATAACTACCAAGTCTCACTCGCAATAAAGTGACACTCGCAGCTTTGGAAAGCCCCTTGATTAAAGGTGGGAGGCATAAATGGGATTGGATGGCCTCTTCCCTCTAGCGGAAAAAGAAAGCAGTCGTTGCCATGGCAACACGCTGATGCCCCATGTGCGTGGCTGAAGCTCTGCCACAGGGTGACATAAAATCAAACATTTGCCCCTTTCTTAAATCAAATGTATAAGGTCAGATAAAACTATTTCAAAGAGGACCTTTCAGTGGAATTAATTAAGTTTTGGGGGACCCCAAGGTGTCTCCAGGCCAGCTCAGAGACTTAGTCCCTGGGCCTTCCTCAAGGCCTCCTCCCAATAGGACATGCCTTTACTTACCGGTAGTTTCTTTTTTTATTGTTTTGATATATATAGACTATAAATGTATAAAATGGACCAAATTAGACTAGTCAAAACTTAAAATGTTATTAGTCGTGATCACCAACCATTTAAATTAAGAGAAGAATGTTTTAGAGCACAGACATGGGAAATACCGAAAATTGTTTCCTCTTTAGTTTAACATAATTAATCTACTTGAACTTTAAATCTAATCCTTGAAATTTATTACCAAAATCCATTTAATTGGTTTGGTATTTTAAACTGGGTTTCTTTTACTGTTAGAGAAATGGGCAATTTAATAAATTTAAACTGATTTACATTGAGGATCACTTTTACTAAATGTGGTATTTTCTTCTATACAGGGCTTATTGATAATTATCGAATAGAATAAGTCATACCAACAGATTAATTATTAAGCCATACATTAATTATTAAACCATACATTTATTATCAAGTATATGTCATAAATATTTATTTTCCCATTTGGAAAGTTAGGAAAATATGATGAATTTAAACAGAGTGACTTGATTGTTTGAATTTAAGGGATAAGGTATGGCTTTGCATACCTTATCCCATACCTATAACTATGAAAAGGCCCAACCTTCCACCTACAAAACATCAACCGCCACCTCCCCTCCCTTACCCCCCACACAGCTGCCATCCTCGTCCACAGCCTCGCCACTTCCCGTCTAGATTATTGCAATTCTCTCCTCTTTGGTCTCCCTTAAAAATCCCTGCATTAACTGCAACTGGTCCAGAATACAGCTGCCTGCATCATAATTCCAACCCTCTCAATCCATCATATCAAGTCCTGTCCTCCAACAGCTCCACTGGCTCTCGATGCAGTTCCAAATTCAATTCAAAATTCTCCTGCTAACATTCAAGTCCATCTACAACCTGGCTCCCCCATATCTGCCTGAACTTATCCATGTTCCCACTCCCTCAGATCCTCTTCATCAATGCACCTCTTTGTCCTCACCGCCTGTTTCAGTACCATGGGGTGTAGAGTATTCAGCCACCCTCTGGAATTCATTACCATCCCAACTTAGAAACATTGATTCACTCCCCTAGCCTGATAAGCCAGACTAAATGTGAGATTAAATGTGTAATTTAGTCTGGAAGATCGTTGATGAGAAAAACCTGTTGTTTTTCAAACCATATCTGTGCCTATTGGCCAACACTCTGACCAATGAGCGCAACTGAATGTGACGTAGTAAGCATGACAGGAAGCTGGTGGAGTGTAAACAAACAGCCTGTCGGTAAAACGGCAAATATGTCCTTTTTAAAAGTGAATGAGCGTAGAGCCTCTTCCTGCTCACGTTTCAACGAAAACCCCAAGCCTAATCCTTCCTAAACTGATTCCAAAGCCATCTTCCTTGTTGTGCTTTCTCCAGCGTCATGCAGCTTTGTCATCACGCCCTCAAAACCACGCCCGCTTTGCATCCAGAAATTCAAAACACATCTCTGCGTTGTGATAGGCCCGCCAGTTCTAGGGCCTGGGGCATTGATCGAGACTAGACCACTCGTATGCAAAAATTATTTTGGTCGCTTGCGGGTGGGGCTAGTTTACTAGGCTATCAATCCCCCATTTCAAATAACAACTCAAAATACATCAGTTTAGGATTGCCTTTTCTATCTGAGGCTATCAATATTGCCTTTGTCTATTTTATTGATTTTATTGATCTTTATTGTTGTTTATTTTTATGCATTTTGTGTATTGTTGCAATTTTTTTATGAAATTTCCCTTTTTTGTTTCAAATGATCCCCTGGATGATCATTAAAATAGGAGCTTATGGAGAAGAATTATTGATTGAATATCAATTACGTTACTGTGATTTGTGAATGTTTTACATGTGAGGGTTTAAACTTATCAAACAGCAAGGCACAGGAGCCGGATCATCACCACATTTCTGCTTTTTTACTTGAAATGTCACATGCAGCAATGAATTTTGGGCAATTCAGTTCACCAAAGTCCACTTAAATGGATACCTAAACCAGAATAACTATGAAAAGGCCCAAACTAATCAAAAACAGAAAAAGGGAAATACAAGACAGCAATAATCAAAACTAGAATCAAACCCAAAAATAACCCAAGATCCTGACATATTTACCTGTTCTATAAATTTGGAAATATTCCACTTAGGGGGTCGGTCAGACATTCAAAAGTGTAGAAAAATATAGTTGTCCAACATGGCTGCCTGACGATTTTGGAAATCAGATTCAGTTCATTTGTTGTTGTTTTTTGTGCTAAAAGACTATCTTAAAATTTTAAAAACATCTTATTGGAAAATATAAATAGGAAAACTGAGAGTAAAGCATTTTCTTACCTAACATTCGGTTATAAATCGTACTATAAAGGGTATCAAGTGAAACAAAGTCACATACTTTTTATAATTTTGCTGTAGCGGATTGATTTTAACCTCTTTTGTAACCAACCATAAAAATCCATTAAAACATGTTTCCTTTCTCTTCACCTTTGCTTAATTCTTTAGAGCCACATGCAGTGACAGATCTGAAGGCAGCAGAGATCACCACTAGTTTAGTGACACTGATGTGGAATCAGCCTGAGAGCGAAAAAAACTATTCTTATGAAGTGCAGGCTGATAGTGTTGTCCTTCCTTCAAAAATGGTGAACATTACATTGAAAAAGAATTACACATTTGGAAATCTTGAGTCTGCGAGGAACTACAGCTTTACTGTGACAACACTCACACCAGATGACACCCGGGCAGAGTCTGTGACAATTTCCAAATATACAAGTATGTTCAACAACATAATTTAGCAGTAAAGAAAATGAAGGTTTTGCTCAAATATGTATTGTTGTTGTTGTTTTCCTGCCAATGCTAACATCTCATCTTTTCTTTTTCAGGACCTTTAAGTATCACAAATTTAACGGCTAAAACCATAAACACAACTGCTATTCAACTACGTTGGGAAACACCATATGAGAACAGAAATGACCTAGAATATTTGGTGGAGACGACAGGCTGTGGAGACCAAAATATTACATCAAAAGAAATAAGCTTAGAAGTCACAGCGCTTGCCCATGGAACCCGCTGCAATTTCTGTGTTTCTATCGTGGCACCTGATGGCATTAAAGGGGAAAGAAATTGCATTTCTCAGTACACCAGTAAGACTTACTCTCCTCCTCGTTTTCTATTTTTAACTGTATCTTTGCTGACAAAAAAAACAAAACAATCTTTCTTAATTTCATACTGTATAAGTAAATGCGACATAGCTAGGCAATAAAAACTATATATTTTTGTTTAAACATGTATTGTAATTGTTTTATCTTGAAAAAGTAACAACTCGTATGTTTGTTTCAGAACCTTTAAATATCACCAATTTTAAAGCTTTAACCTTAAACACAACTGCTGTTCACCTTACCTGGGAAACACCATATGAGAACAGGCCCGACCTAGAATATTTGGTGCAGACGACGGGCTGTGGAAACCAAACCATTCAATCACCAGTAGTAAACAAAACCTTCTCAAACCTCACCCCTGGAACCGAATGCACTTTCTGTGTTACTATCATGACACCGACTGACATTAGAGGAGACGAAATCTGCACCTCTCAGTACACCAGTAAGACTTTCTTTCCCTCATTGATTTTTTATTTTTTTTTGTCATTGTAGACTTTCATTTTCTTCTTATATTTCTGCACAACAGAACCTGAGAAAGCACATCTCACCATCCTCAATGAGGGATCCAACAATTCCCTCCTGGTAGTATGGACCAAACCCACAGGAAATGTGGAGCATTACGAGCTTATCCTAAACAGCTCTTCTACAGTGTATCCTACAAAATGGCTCAACTCTACCAACACATCCTTCCTGTATACCAACCTGTCAGCCGCAGTGCTTTACAAGGCGGAATTGTTATCATGCAGTGGAAAATTCTGTCAACCTTCTCAAACGGTTACAAATGCAACTTGTGAGTAGCATATGCTTTATTATAAAAAGCTTTTGTTACTAAAGTTTTTTTTGTTATTTTTAAAATGCAATTAAAGCTTGCAAGACGAGTCTTGAAAAGAAAATAATTTGCCTTAATTTTACCTCCTCATATATCAGTTATTTCAAATAAATATGACAAATTTCACAGTAAAACATGGTAATTATTATTACAGCTGAATGTTGCCCGTTGATATTTCTGTAAAAAATTATGTTCTTTTAAAAGAACCTTTACATTGGCTGAGGACGTTATTTCATTCTGGGGGATGAAAGTAGACCTCAGGAGGCATCCTAATCAGATTGACGAACCACTTCCTGTCAATCCTTTTGATGTCCTTTTTTGTAGAAATACTACAACCTCAGCGCTATCTTATCATCTCAAAGGGCCCCAGTGTTTGGGGAGTGTTTTAACCATTTAATCAACCTCATCCTCATATTTTGATTTTTGCACTGAGGAAATGATGGTCAGACTAATGAGGTCCTTTAAGTTCTCCTTCCAATTTCTGACAATATCCTCCATCAATTAGCTGCATGTAGCTAAATGCATATTTATAACCTCTATGTTTGAAGGAAACCTTAAATGTATGAGATGGTTGGACAGTAATTTACAAATATAGATCTTTAATTTGATCAAATATAACCTTTTTGATTCGAATGTGATGGACTGTGTCCTTGCAGACCCAACTCCTCCGGGGCCAATTGAAATCCTGAGGACAACAACTAACTCTGTTGAAATGCGTTGGGGAGAAGCACCTATGATGAGTCTGGAATCCAACTACAGTTACAAGCTGACCTACAACTCCTCTCAGCCAGATATAATAGTGTCTTCTGCCAAGACGAATTACACTTTATCCCAGCTGCTGTCTGGGACCTCCTACAACATTTCTGTGAAAACTGTGGGACCGCTGGGTTTTGAGAGTGAATCTGTTTACAGAAACATGGTTACCACAAGTAAGAATTTTATTATCCTATACTACCTGCCTTTTTTTACTATCCTTTACAGCCGCAAGCTCCCTGTATTTTATTTTGATTTTATGTTGTATTGCATTATAGTGAAGTGCATAATTTAAATCTGAAAAATCCCCAAAATATTTATATTTATTTTATTTTTGGCTGCTATGTGAACGAAATGAAGTATAACTTTTGGCCTCAGAAATCCCCAGTTTACTTAACAGAGCTCACCCTTCTGTAATTTTATTTTAGTATTTAAAAGAAGCTTTTCTTTGAGAACCTCAGAGGTTTCTTAAAGCAAATAGGCCAACAAACTCCATCAGGAAGAAGAAAAATAAACGAAACAAAAAAAAATCACCGCAGACCAGTGATAAAGGTGTGGAGGTGTTTACATCATTGTTAGGTTATAAAGAGATACCCTGAGATGAGCCGATCTCACAGAGAATCGTTTAATCATAGAAAAACAAACGAGTAACATAAAGAGGTCACTGCACAAGGACTAAATTATTCGGGCAATCAACCATGAGGCCCATGGTAATTAGAATAGCGTCAGCGATTAATGCTTAAGTAGGAGAAACCATATAGGTGACATATGAAATAAAATGAAATCCTGAACAAGCCACCACTCTAGTGAAACGGAGGGGTGGCAGCATCATGCTGTGAGGATTCATCTTCGGACACTTCAGAGGCTGCAAATGAGGGATTGATGCAGAGTCAGCGACACATTTCAGGTGAACATCCACTGTCGCTCGTCCAGGTTGAAGGAATCCTGGAAAGTCGATGACTCAATGCAATCAGCCGGGTGTCCTTACATAGAAAGCTTGTGACCAATCTGCTAGTAGGAATTGACTGAATAGTCTCTGTAAGGTAACTTGAGATGCCGTGTTTTGAAATGAAGCCATATGAATAAAAATGAACTGAATTAACATCCAGCCAGAGCTACAACAGAAAGGTTCAGATTGTCGCCTATGCATGTGTCTACCCACTACTTTGATCCATAGAAAATTCATGTTTACGTACAGTATAACAAGCAGGAATAGTAAGTGTAGTGTCTGGACTAACTGTGAAATGTCTTACCTGTCTGTTTAACCTCCAGAACCCTACAATGTGATATCTCTCAGCACCATCACTGAAGAGAAGAGTATTAATGTAAGCTGGAAAAAACCTGACGAGTATAAGGACACCTATTTCTTTTTTCTGACCTGGCAAAGCTCTGATGGGACTGTTAAAAATATCACCATCACTGATGATAAATATAAAATCACTGAACTCACGCCTGGTACTGAATACAATATAACCGTGAGCACAAGGACCTCCGATGGAGCACAGTCTGCCACAGAAGAAATTTCCAACTGCACAAGTAAGATCAGAGCATCCCAATATGTGGTTACGTTCATTTGATGATAGATTTCTTTATTTTTCCCAAATCAACATTTTTAATTATCCTAAAGAACTTTTTGACAACTTAACTAAAACAATATTGTAACACACATATTAAAATAGTAAAACAGTGGTTTACCTCATTTATATCTGCCCTATGACTTCAGATGCAAGCCCTGTGAAGAATTTAAGATGTGAAAGAGCAACACCTGGAAAAGCAGAAATCACTCTGAACTGGACCAAGCCTGATGGAATGAGCTCTGGCTTCCAGTTAACCATATCCAACAGTTCTCAAAACCGCCACTCGAGTGACAACTGCTGCTCTCACGTCTTTGCAAATCTTGCTCACTACTCTAATTATACCTTAACTGTGGAGAGTCAGAGCTGTGGAAAACCCAGCACTCCTAAGTCTATTGAATGTTCCACAGGCGTTGGAAGTAAGTTGTGGGTTTTTATGTGTACTGAATTGTGGGTATTTATTGTATGTCAATAATGTGTAGCAATAGAACTGCAGCTCTAATTATATTGAATTTATATCTCTATATTTAATTTTGTTCATCATTAGCTGATATTATTCACTTTGAGTTTGATAAATTAGTTCAATATTCCTCTCTTTCATCTTTATAAAGAGCCACCCATTCAAAAGGACTTTTTGACACATGTAACCACAAGTAAAACTCACAATACATTCACGCTTCGCATCAGCTCCCAACATATGGACAACACTATGGGACCAGTGACACATGTTGGGGTTATTGTTACAAGTGATGATAAGGGTAGGTTTTTTTTTTTTCTTTCCTTCCTAACATCAAGATTTACTCTGGCTTGCTCTGTTTTGATCAGCAAGAAAATAGAATCTGAAAATATGGTAAGGTTCCCTTATTAACTGTATATTTTGTTTTCCAGACATCCAATCTAATCTTGAAAATTACTTGGGGAAGACGTACGAACAGTGGAGATCCAAGTCGACCCAAGCATACCTGGCTACAGTAGCAAATTACAACCTACAGACACGCAGCAGTAGTGACCTGGAACTCCTAGTAGGAACCGACTCGAAGTGGGAGAACTATCATAATGGTTTACTGGATCCAAGCGGAACTTACAGGTAATAGGAAACAAAACATGCTGAAAATAAAACAGACAGCTTTCAGAAATGTATTTTATTGGAAAAAAAAAGGTCTGAATTACTAAAGGAAATGCTAGACCTGAAACAAGTTTAGTTTTATCTAATATATTGAATAGTTTCACATCCTTATTTAAAAAACAAATATATCTGCTTAACTGGGCCTCTAGGCCACCTTTGATGAGGGTTTTGTAAAATCCAGAATGTTGAATGTGCACAATTTAAAGGTATAGCGGAGGAATTTTGCGAATTTTTGAAAAGACCCGCCCTATCTACTTGCCCTAAAATGGACATGCACAACCCAGTACCCGCTCCCGAGAGGGAACGGCTATTAAATACGTGCAAGAGCATGCACAAGCCCATTTCTCCTCGTGCACACCGCGCAGGTGGGGGGGGAGACCTGTAAGGCCGGCGGTTGGAAGCATGCCGTCATCGGGTCGGGTTCAGTCGCTCCGTCCTCCTTTTCAGAAACCCAAATATTAGAAATGTTTTCAAAACCAGTTGCTAAATGTCTCAGCTCACTAACCACTTCATCGTAGGTAGCCATGTAAATAGCATGGAAGAAATAAATAGGGTAAAAAAAATACAAAGGAAGAATAAACCGGACAAAAATATTATAACATGCACATAAATAAATACTTAAGGAAATAAGTAATCAATGAAAAAGTTAAAGAATACAACGGACAATAAATATATAAGGTAATTATCAGAAAGGCAAATAAACAAAGAAGCTAAAAGATATATATATATATATATATATATATATATATCTGGGCAATTAATTATAAGCTTATTTATTTTTAGAGCATTTATTTATTTCTGCATTTATTTTTAGTTATGGCAGGATTTGTCCTCCATAGTTTTTAGCTTTTTACATCAAGTAAGGAGCCAAAATGATCATACTTATTGTTTGCGGCATTCGGAGTCATTTTAGGCCCCAGAATTTATTGGAATGACTGATTATTTTTTAACTTATAAACTCTTTATAAGGCATTTTTAAAATACACTGAAATCGAAGCATATAGTGCAGATAGAAAAAGTAAACACTTTTGAGATACTCAATTCATTTAAAAAAAATTTTTTTTTTCTTCACAGATATGCTGTTGTGATTTTCACCCATCTGGTCACGGATTCAGGACTTATTGATAGTACCAAATCAGTGGTTTCTATTACACAATTCTCTGAGGTCGTTGCTCTTAACAAAGACCCAGGTATAGTTAAAAGAATCAGAATGGGACTTTTATGTACTTGTTTTCTTTCTTCTTTTTTCTGTTGCTTATGTTCTGGAATTAACCTTTAATTTGTTTTAATGTATTTCAGTCACCACTGGAATCGCTATTGGAGTAACATTGGGAATCTTTGGATTTCTCTTTATCATCCTCATTGGTTTTGTCATCTATTGGAGAAGGTTTTTATTCTTCAGACCAATAAAAGCTCATATTTAGATAGTAATAACACCCTGATGCTTAATATTGTTTTGCTTATATGTGATGTACTGAAGGTTGTCTCGTAAGGAGTCTCCTGACATCCAGATTCTAACAATGGGGTGAGATTTTTAGCATCTACCAAATGATTTTCTACTAAAGGTCCATAATGTTTTTGGTAATTATTACATTTTCTTTATTTCCTTAGGGGTAAAGTGTAAGTATAAAGCATTTAAATGAATAAATTATGAAAAAACAAAACAAATACTTGCTGTTTTTTATGGGCAAAATGAATCCTCCCCCTAATATGCTGTCTGTATGAGCAGAAGTGTTGCTGTGAGGGTGGAGGACTTTGAAGCTTACTATAAGAAGCAGAGAGCGGACTCCAGCTGTGGCTTTGCTGAAGAATTTGAGGTAAAACCTGAAAAATACTTTAAGATTGCCAATTTGTCAATTCCCTTACTTACACCAATCTGTGACAAATCAATACATTTTTTTATATATTTGCATTTTTTTATATTAACCTAAATGTGGTAAAGGAAATGATCCTCAATCGTTTCAAACATCAGTGATATTTGCTTTATTTCTTTCCTAAAATCAATATAAGCATTCTCAAATGTTTACAGTTCTAACTTTGATTAAAGACAGGACCATCTAATAGATGACATGAGTATTGAGTTATTGAGTTATTTAAATTACTTTACTATATACTGAAGATTGTTGCATTATTAAAGTTTTTTCTCGTCCTAAAAAGAGGTTAGCTAAAAAATAAAAAATAAAAAGCATCACAGAGTAAACAAATAAGCAAAATAAGGTTTTACTGCTAGTGGATTTCTTGGGGTTTTATTCTCAACAACTTTATCAAAGATGTCCTTGTTTATGTTTTGGCCACAGCTAAAAAGAGACAGGTTTTCAGATTTGTGCAACTAATTTTTTTTTTTTTTTAAAGCATTACTTCAGATCTATAATAGATCTATAATAAATAGATATGTTCCCGTATTTATACAGACATATAGACAGGATTTCCTAATGAATAAAGTCAAGATGTAATCTATAATAATGTTAGATTAAGCATTTTTATTTCCTCTTCAGCTACACTTTCACTAATTAAAGCAAGTTTTTTTATTCTGAAGGACCTAAGGCCTGTTGGTACTAGTCAGGCTAAGGTGCATGCCCTGGATCCGGAGAACAAGCCTAAAAATCGCTACAACAACGTGCTTCCTTGTAAGTCACTTTTAAAGTTCTTTACCTATTTTGAACATAAATCCATCCAGCTATAATCGGTTTGCTGTAACACATGCAATTGCTGAATTTCGATGCTTTAATAGGGCATTTTTCATCTAACACCTTCATTTCCAGCTGTAAACAAATCATTCATATTTCATTTACAAACTTATCACCTCCTAGATGACTCCTCAAGGGTGAAACTCTCTGTTGTCCATGGAAGTCCAAATGAAGATTACATCAATGCTAACTATATGCCGGTGCGTGCTGACACTGTTTACCATTGCTTTTTATCATTGCTTCAGTAACTTTAAAGCATCTTCTGGAACGGTACGACTCATATCTTCTGCTTCATTGGATGACAATGAACCAAACCTATATTACTGCTCCAGTTCAAAACGATCATAAAAACTGAACTTTACGATTGATTTACATTAAGTTTTTTTTGTTGGGTGTCAGGGTTATCTCTCCCGGAAGGAATACATCGCAGCTCAGGGACCTTTACCCGCAACAGTCAACGAGTTTTGGAGGATGATCTGGGAGAAGAACGTGCAGACTCTGGTCATGCTTACACGCTGTAATGAACAAGGAAGGGTGAGTATTAACATTACTGCACTTAAGTAATATTTTTTTGTATCTTTAGTTAACTTAAATAATTTTTTGTGGTGGCTACTTATAACTTTCACTTCAATATATTTCAAGGAAGCTGCTAGTTACTTGTTACTATTTAAATTCAATTTCAACATGGCAGATAGCAGCCCTTAAGGCTGAATTCGGACAGCACTGATTAGGGATTTCCGTGATGTTCCACAGATGAGAGAAAATCAGGGCAGATATTATGTTTACATCACACTTTTAATTAGGGTGTTAGTGGTTGCCATGTTGCCAATTGGTTGTTCAGTAGGATGAGCTGCAGGTTCTTTGTGGTAATAGATTCAACCTCAAACCTCTATTCCATAATCAAAGTGTGAGGAGAATCAAAACAATCCTGTTTTGCTCTGAACTTCCTTATCAATGCTTTTTGCACCTTGTTTTTTTTCTCCCACACTGATCACTGCTGCACTTTATGGGATGGAGACGTTCATTTCCTGTCTGAAAAGCTATGCTAAATAAAAATTTCAATTCAGTTTATTTCTATACCGCCAATTCACAACACATGTCATCTCAAGGCACTTTACAGTTCACCAGATAATAGAGTCAAATTGATTAAAAGTTTTCTATCTAAGGAAAGCCAGTTGATTGCATCGACTCATTGACTTGGATGCAATCCATCACACTAAGCATGCTTGTAGCGACAGTGGAGAGGAAAAACTCCCTTTTAACAGGAAGAAACATCCAGCAGAATCTTGTTGTTAACAATATTTTCATTAACAATAAAAAGTTGTCTCAGTTGTTTTTGCTTTGTTTTTAAATAAGAGGTAATAATCAAAATAGCTGTCCTTAGCTGGCATTTTGATGCTGAGGTTCTCTACAGATGGTGAAGAATTTGTAGCAGAGTGGCTCAATACATCAGGTGCTTTCTGAAAGTTACAAGGTTCTTTAAAATTACTATGAAAATTAAACTGAAAATTAAACAAAAATGGTTTTAGAAAATTTTATTAGTATTCCTGAATACTTAAATACTTTTAAATCCATGTACTTTTGAGTATTTTCAAAAGCGAGTACTTCAATACTTGAACTTGAGTAGATGTTTGAGTGGATAACTTTTACATGTAGTTGAGTAAGATTTGACTATGAGTATCCATACTTTTACTCAAGTATTACTTTTGATTACTTTGTCCACCACTGACATTAACAAAGAAACATATAAGTGGTAATTTAATCAATGATGTCATTAAGGTTTTACAGATATAAGCTTTACCCAAAATAAAAGGGCTCTTTTCACTGAAATTCATATCTTAATTAAAAATATATATATAAATACAATTACAACCTCAGTTATCAAATGATCTATTCTGTATTTAGCATATTTTGAAATAGATGAGATTAAGTAACTATTGAAAACTCAAAAGTTTGATAGAAGCACATGAATATTTAGCTTTGATGTGTTTAGCTAAAACATTTAACTTGAGTAAAAATATCTAAGGAAAGATGCATCTACTGTATGAAACCTGCATCAGCTGAATCGCAATGTAACAATGATCAAAGTTTCTGAATAAAAAATTAATCACAAAATTGTTTGTTTGTTTTCAGGTTAAATGTGAGCAGTACTGGAGTCCTGGGACCAAATACTGTGAAGACATCATTGTGACAACAACATCTGAAATCCCACTTGAAGACTGGACCATCAGGGACTTTGACATAAAAAATGTTAGTTAGAAAAGCGACACAGCTTAAATCAGCACCATATCAGTCATTCCATTGTTAGTCAAACAGTATCCAATAAAAGTTCACATGCAGTGTTTTCTTAAGGATGGAGTCTCAGAGGGGAGTTTAGGGTTTTCTGCCATTTAAATGCTGTCCTGCCCCCCCCCCCAGGTGAAAACAGCAGAAGTCCGCTCAGTCCGTCACTTCCATTTCACCGCTTGGCCGGATCACGGTGTTCCAGAAACCACAGAGCTTCTGATCAGCTTCAGACATTTGGTCCGAGAGCATATGAACCAGTACTCCAGAAATTCCCCCACAGTGGTTCACTGCAGGTCTGACAGAGCAATACTGACAAATTCACCAGCTTTTTCATTCCATTACATGAAAAGTCATAAAATGATCTGTTATCGCTGCTAATTTTCTGCTTTTTTCTTTGTGTTTTTTTTTTTACACTCAGCGCTGGTGTTGGACGCACAGGCACCTTCATAGCCATTGATCGTTTGATATTCCAGATTGAAAGGGAAAATATTGTAGACGTGTACGGCATTGTTCACGATCTGCGAATGCACCGACCCCTCATGGTGCAGACAGAGGTAGGAAGCTCACATGGCCAACCTATTTCCTCTTTTATTTGTTTTTCAAATCCTAAACCCTTTGTTGTTGTCTTTTTTTTTGGTAATTGCTGCAGGACCAGTATGTTTTCTTAAACCAGTGTGCCTTGGACATCATCCGTGCAAGAACAGGGAACAACGTGGATCTGATCTACCAGAACACAGCCGCCATCTCAATTTATGAGAACGTAGAACCAAAATCAGGATATTAGACTGCTCTTTTTGAGTTTGATTTTAGGGTGAGGAAAAAAATGAGCATTAGGTTTAAAGGGAACACTTCTAATTAAATGTGGTGTGTTGATTGCAGTCACGCCATTATTGGAACCACCACCCTTCGAGGTTTTCAACCCCTTCATTGTCATCTTCATTTTTCAAAAATAGAGAAAACCACAACATAGATACATGCCTCTGCCTTAAATGTGCTCATACCTGCATATTATTTTACTGCACAATTGAAATGACTTCCTGCTGTATATGACTCAATGATTTTAATTTTGCTCAGGTAGTGTTTTTATGTACTTTTCTGGTGTTTTTAGATAAACTTTCGACTTGTATAAAAACAGTTATGTGCCTTGAAGCAGCCAATACGCTTTATTTAACAGTAGGGGGCACTCTTGTCTTACTTTTGTAACAGATAAACAGGGATTACATGAAATTGTAAAGGAATTTTAAATTATTCTCTTCTTGCTTGACTAACTGTAAGCCAATATGAACTGTGCAATGTGCTTTAATGAAGGAGCTTATTTGTTATTATTTCTATTTTTTTATGCACTGCTATTTGACGAATGCACTGGATGCATTTATGCATTTGTCCCACACTGTCCATCTTTATCATAGGTGGTTTTTCTTCAAGTAGTTTATGATACATTCTGGCCAGTTTTTTTCTTGAAATGGAATGTCTTGCTTTTAATTTATCATTTCATCTCAGGAAACTTTACCAAGAAGAGCTTTTTACTGGCTGTTATTGTGTTAAAAATCTAGAATGCACCATTTTGTATTAATTTAGATATTTCAGTTATCTTGTTTTTTTTTGTTTTTTTTGATGCTGTACATTCCTTAGACAATGTTTAAAATTATGTCACTTCCTGTGACAGCTTTTATACAATGATTATTCACTTCCTGTGTTGTTATAGTCACCAGAGAAGCACAACCTTCTTTTTTTTATCTTCTAAAGGGCAAAACTTTCCATGAGCCAGGTACGTTTGATTGAGAAACTTTTGCTTTTGCCTTTGTGTGTGTATGTGTACAGTTAGAATACAAGCACTTATGTTTTAATGAGATACAGGAATATAAAGTAGTAAATGTTTTAGGATGTTATTAAAAATGCTGTAAGAGATGCTTGCTGGTTCAATGCAATTATGTAAAATAATCTAGTTTATAATATGAAATGGGATTAAAGATATTAATGTCACTCTTCAGGAATATTTGCCCACTTCAGTGCTAATAAAGCTTAACTGTCTTGCTAAAATCTCATCTTTGTGTTAATAATTTTCTCCACATTTTATTGCTTCTTTTTTTAGATTTTCCAAGTTAATATTGAGTTCCTTGCACAAATATTTACAGTTAAATAAAACACATGCATCTTATAAAATAGGGCTTATTTTTCTAAGTAGGAGGAAGTTTAAACTGTTTATTACTCTAATCACAACATGGATTGTTTTGGGGGCCGTCTGCATTAGCTTTGCACATCCAGAACAAAACATTTTGCCGGTTCTAATATAGAAAACAGCTCAATTTTAATTGAAATGAAGGGTAGTCTTCATGAATGTCTAGTTGGAGACAGATTCTAAATAATATGAAGGCCTGGGCTTTGACTAGGCCATTCAAACAAATTAAAATGCTTTACTTTTAACCATTCAGCTGTAACCCAATGGGTCATGCTGTATGAAGGTGAATTTTGAGTGCCAAATTACCATTTAAAACTTCCTTATTTCTAGCTCAAAGGAAGAGTAATGTTAGTTTATCAACAAACCTTTGGTGTCATCTGATAAAATGAGAAGTCCATGTTGTTTTTTTCATGTCTTTATTCTTGTTACTCTCCAGTAAAGATCAGACTTGTGGACACAAAAGACCGTCATGTTGACCTATTTTCTCAGTCGTAGATCTCTTCAGCTCCTCCAGAGTTACCATGGCCATCTTGGCTGCTCCCCTATAAATGCTTTTCTTGCTAGGTCTTTCAGTTTAGGCACACTGCAACGTCTTTATAGCTCTTTATTTGTGGCATTCTTTTTCTGTGTTTGGGTGACTTCAATATACATATACTAACTTTTTGATATTCCCATACCACAGCCACAGGTCTGATCTGTCTGATCTGTTCCTTGGTCTTTGTGATGCTTTTGATTAATTAATATTATATGAAGGAGATCAATGGAGATAATCATAGTGGCATTATCAAATTCTATAACTTTTATACTCTCACACAGCAGAAGACGTCATCAACAACACAGACAAGGGAGACAGAGATAAAATCAGTCCTTAGGAACAAATGCCTGAAGGAGGCCAGTGTGCTGCAGGTGTGGAGAGAAAACAAACCAAACTCAGTCCAAAGCAGGCCCTGATAGGAAGCTATTCTTAGAGGTATAGTGGAGGATTTTTAATAATTTTTTAAAAAGACCCGCCCTCTCCACTTAAAAAAAAATGCACATGCACAACCCTGTACCCGCTCCTGGGAGTGAATGCCTATTAAACATGTGGCAGAGCATACATGAGCCCATTTCTTCTCGTGCACACTCTGTCTAAAAGTTTCTGTTTTTATCGCTCATACAAGCTTTACTTTCCAAAAGAAGATTTGCTATTTTCCCACTATGCCAGACTCACCACTGGTAAGTGAAAATGGGCATGAGAACGTAGGATGGCCTTATGTAAACATATTACAAGAATGATTGACAATGAGAAGGAAAACCTATTTTCATGATCCACCCAAAAAAAGAACATCCTCCACTATACCTATAGGAAGAGTCAAAGTATACAGGCAAGAAAGGGTGCAACTACTTCACGATGGACAACAAACTGATTTAGGAACACACACAAAAAAAGTGATAGCCAGAAGTCTGAGCTTCTAAAATGCTGACCTGGATCTTAATGATATTAAATCAAAGTCAGCCAGTCTGAATACTAATTAATTAGTTTAACATCTCAAGCAGTAGGCTCTAAAAGAGGGGATCTGAATACATGTGTATGCCACACTTTACATACATTTATATACTCAAGTTTGTGTTTAATTAACACAGGAGAAAATGTGAATATTTCAAAGGGGGTGTGAGTGCGCCTCTGAAAGAAAAGTTACTCTATTTTATCTATGTAATTCTTTACCAGTGTGTGGATCTATTAAATCTAAAGGAAAGATGAATTACCAAAAGATGCTGCTGAGGAGGATGACCTAACACGTCTCTGCAGCATTCAAGTTACAGTGGACTAAATGCACTCTGCACAGATATAAACCTTCTGTTCCCGTTCTTTCAGGATAAAAAGCTTTTCACACAGACCTAAAACATGATGAGCCCACAACAAACTAATACCCAGACCTTCTGTGGACACTATACCTGCTTTAAGGCAGCAGGTTGGTGGTTATATAAGATTCTTCCATCAAGGAACCCACTCCTCAATCTCCCATCAATCTCCTCCATGCCAGGCTTGTTTGATCTCGCTCTCGATCTAAAAATAGATGTACTTATTTATTCCGCTGTGGTAAGACAATCCATTGATTATTTTAGGCTTAATTACAATTAAATCAGCCTTTAAAAATATATATATTTTTATTTCCTAGTACATTATGAAAAACAACCTACTAAACGTTATATCTGTCATAAATTTTGAGAATTTTAATTTTTAACACTAAAGTTTTTTTAGCCTTTGCTTACATTATTCCTATGCTTTATTCAGTTATTACGATATATTGTGCATTAACTAGTAACTATTAAAATTTTAGCTGTGTAATATTCCCCTCGGTATATTACAATCCCTTTAAAGTCAATGTAACAAAAGGCTGATTAAATGATTATTTATTTTATGGATCCATGGCGTTCTCCTACCGTGAGAAAAAAAAAGTATGTAATGACACAGCAGAAAGTTTCCATTGGCCTCTAGGCTGGAAAGGTATAGATATTTAACTTTTAGCCTTAAAAGAAAGATCAGAACACTATGTAAGATTTAAAATATCTCCTGGTCTAGGCTGTGGAGCAACACCTAATCTATGGACCTGCAGTTCTATATAACATCTATCAAAACATATCTAGATTCTATAAGGTTAAAAAAAATGGAGGATGAAGGAACATAATACACCAATCATAGAGTTAAGAAGAGGTTTGAAGTAAGGTTTGACCACAGACAAATATATCAAGCTTTGAAAATTTCACATGTCACTCTTCAGTCTATAAAAAGCAGGTTAATAAGAGCCTTGTCTCAATGAACAGCTTAGTGGTATTTGTTTTTAGCCCTAAAATAACTTCTAAACTGGATTTATCATACATTGATCTTAAAGTTACATCCACAGTCAACCAGCGTCAAACCCAAAGTCACGTTTTTTGGTAAAAAAGAAACTCTGTGCCCTCAATCTAAACTCCTGATGGAAATTCTAGAGCATGTTTCTGAGTGTAAACAGTTGGAAATCTGGCAAGATAACAGTCTATCTTTTTCAAACCACACTGGGAAATTACAGGCTAAGGTTAAATAATAAAAACAGCTTTGCTATAAAATGCTCTGCAAAACTAACACTTAAATAACCATCCTCTCCATATTTGATTATGGTGATTTCTTTTTACAGAATGGTATGTAAGGGCTCACTGAAAATACCCAATGAATTGTGCCTTTCTGCCTTCTTGTCCCTTCAGAACAAACCAGTGCATTATATATATATTCATCTGATGTGGGGTTTGTCTTTATTATTCATTATAAACATTGTTACTCCCTTCACCCTGAGGGATTAAAGGGAATAAGACAGAAATAAGCAACATTTAGATAAAAAATTAAAGACCTGCATAGCTAAGGTCTTTTATTTAGCACAAAAAAAACTTTTGGTCATGCACTGAATGAACTCATGTTTGCAATTGAACACTAAGAGATGCTCTGGTTAGATGAGACAAGAATGTAACTTGCAAAAAACTCAATCAATATTGCACATTATCTTTGAGACACACATCTTAAGCATCAAACTGTGATAAATTTTTTATGTTTTGTGTTTTGTTTTCCTAAACAATGACAGATAAGATTGACAGATTTGACTGAGAAATGAATAGAGCTAAATATAGAAAATTTCTGAGGTGGCTGCAAAATATTTTAACAAGGTCAAAGGTTGTTTTACCAGCAGGTGACAGCTGCAACACAGTGGTGAAGATTAAACATATCACTCTGATAGTATCTTAACTTCAAACCTAAAAATTTCTTTTTTTTTTTTTTGCAAACCTTGTTGAACTACTTTGTGAATTAAAATAGGCAAAATTTCAGTCTCTGACTGTGCGTAGCAGCAAGATATCGCCCCGAAATATTTGCAAGAAATTTTTTTTTGAAAGTTTTTCTCAAAAGTCATTACATGCATTTGTGTTAGTCTGTTTTATTAAGTCATCATATAAAACTGTAAATTGCTGATTTTAACATGATAACCGGTGGCAAAGTTCATGAGGTATGAAAACGTACAAGTATGAAGGTTATTTAACAGCTGCATTTTGTAACTCTGCTTTGGTCTGCTTGAACTGAAATTGAAATATTGTTAACAACAAGATTCTGTTGGGGTTTTTTTCCTATTAAAAGGGAGTTTTTCCTCTCTACTGTCGCTACAAGCATGCTTAGTGTGAGGGATGGAATTCAAGTCAATGAGTCGATACAATCAACTGGTTTTCCTTAGATAGAAAACTTTGAATCAATTTGACTGGATGATCTGGTGAACTGTGAAGTGCCTTGAGATGACATGTGTTGTGAATTGGCGCTATATAAATAAACTGAATTGACTTGAATTTTGTTTCAAAACTTTTTTTGCATTGTAAGTGTGAATTTGAAGTTGTAGAGATATTTGCATGAACACAATTTGTGTAACTTGTTTTTGTGTCAGATTAAAACAAATCTACAGTTACAAAACATCAAATTTACAATGCAAAAATAATTTTGCAACAATAGTTCTGAGCCATTTGAAGCAATACTTGAGAATATAAGAGGCTTTTGATGTGCAACTTGTAGAACACAATTTTTGTACTTGTACTTAAAATTTGAACATGTGTAAAAAAAAAAATACTTGTGATTTTTTTTTTTTATTCTACACATACAAAAACCTAGAATGGAACTCTCTCTACATATTCAAATTCACACTTACAATGCACAAATAGCTTTGAAATAAAATAACCTTCATATACAAGGCTGTGCAGAAACCACACAGTAAGTGTAGTACCCATATATGACCACAGGGGTCGCCAAATCTCGCTGCACCGGTAGGGTAACCGCAACCACTAGAATCTAGTCCGTTTTCTGCGCTCTCCATGTTGAAACGGAGCAACTTCTCCTCCGGTGAACTCCCAACCGTCCCTCCGTCCACCACCGCTAACCCAGCTGCTTCCACACCGCCCAACCATGACATTTGACTGGGAAGGAATCCGCCAAACTGTATGAGTGCTGCCTCAACCGGAAAAATAAAACAGTAAGTCTGCCGCTCCCCTGCTCTACAACGGCTGCAACGAGGAGGATAACTTGCTATTTTTAGTTTCTTCGAATAATTCAACTAACGTAGGTTTTAATGTGCTAACTTGTAGCTAGCTGCGGCAGCTCCCTCGTCCGTTACAGGGAGCGGGGAGGGTTTATCGGTATTTTCGGACACCCTGGCCTCGCTGTATCTTTTTCGGTAACATCGCAGCGGCTGCCTGATTAAATGGTCAGGGGGGGCTAACCTTACTAGCTTCCACCCCCCCACATAAAGTGAACCCTCACCTCCACATTAGCGGAGCAAAGCGAGCCTCATGTCTTTGCATAACAGGTAGGCAAGCCTGATGTCTGCGAGACGAGGACACATAGATTTTCCTTATTTCTCTTCATATTTATTATATCTTTTTTTTACTTCCTTCTTATCATCTTCTGTAGGCGTAGGAAGAATTTGTAAACATACCCAAAGGAAGCGTGATAACGTTCATCCGTTATAAGGAGCCTCTTATAACCGAAATAAGCATACTTGTTTGTTTACTTTACAGTCGTTCTCCTTTTCATGTCAACGATCCAGATGACGTCCTTTGATGGGGATCAGTAAAATGAGATTGTTGATGTTTGATTATCATACAAAATGTAGGTCAAAACATATTTTCTGTAGCTTCCATGTGATGAGCTGCACCATCAGCACCTCCTTTTACTTGATCTATCTGCATGATTGTTGCACTAAGCTGGAAATTAATTAATTGTAGGGATTGTTGGTAGAATAAACAGCCACTTTGCTGATTTTTTTTGACCCGCTTATGTACAGAGGCACAGCCAGAAATTATTTATAAGGGTGGCCAGGCAATAAACAAAGTATACTGAGGGGGGCTGAAAGCAGGTCAGCACCAGAACCTCAGGGTCAAGCTAGCTGTTCCAACAGGTAAATTAGCCATATTTTCTAAATAAAGACTAACTATACTTTCCTACAGCCTTTGCTAACAAATAGACGCATATATTTAAACATCTGTAATTTCTAAATAAACGGTATAGTGGATAAAACTCAATTTTGAGTTATGGGGCGTACCGGTAAATCTTTTCCATAGTCATTGCTTACCTACTTGTATCATAAACATTTGGCATACAATTCATATTTACAAGCACTAATATCAACATAAATTGATTATTTGATAAGTTTTTATTAAAATTGTTATTTATCTTTGATTTCACTGAAGACTCCTAGATGACTTGCAGAGACACATAATTTTCTCTTTACCCCATAAAACACAAAATCTAGTTATGAAAATAGCATGAATTCTGTACTTATCATCATTGATGTGTATAATTAACCACAAAAAAAATGAAATGTTTTGAATATTCCACTTGAGAGTATTACTGCTGCCACCATCTGTATTAGAGGGGGGGAGAATGGTAGGGTAAGGGTGGCCATGGCCACCCCTGGCCCCCCATCTAGCCCCGCCTCTGCTTATGTAACCCACAAGAATGAGAATGCTGAAGTGAGAGGATTTGTTTTAGGGCTTTATTTTTGGATGGTAAATTGCATTTCCCCTCTTTTATATATACAACTGTAGTGAAATCACCACTCAGTAATATCAAGAATGTCTTTCCTTTTTACTGACATTGTAATTAACATTTATAATAAACCAGTTGGAGATCACTATTGGATTTTTTCCCAGTACTAGAAATTATGAGTTGGTGTTCCTTGTCATGGAATGCATATATGTTGTTGAGTGTTTTAACAAAAAAGTGAATGTCCATTTCTTTTTTTTAATGTTGTATAGTTCTCAAAAGATCTGAATAGGCCAGTAGACAAGGGGTTCAGACCCTCCAGATCATCTCTAAGCAAACAAACAACAAACCTGGAAATGATTATTCGTCAAAAAAAGCCTAATTGGTAAATCTAGATTACATCTGAGCCCTTTATATAAAGATATACTTTTATTAAATACAACAAAAATGCGAAGACATTGTTTTTTGGCCTTGATATGACATGTTACCCACATTTCATCTGCTTCAATGTTTGTGTTTGAAATAGTATCACAAACCCAGCTGTTCTAAGTATTCAGAAAAAATCTTAGGTATAGTCAGAAATAGCATTGGAATCTTTTTCAATATAGTAAAACCTAAAGCTGCTTTAACGAGTAAATAATAAGGATCAGATATGATTAATATTTTGAGTGAAAAAAAATCAATTCTTAGGGTTTTGTAAGGTTTTGTAATTAGATAATCGAAAAAAAAAACAAAACAAAAAAAACAAGCTTGTCTTCAGTGTTCTTTTTTCTGTAAGCATTGAGTGGCTCAGTACTGCCTCTCCCCCACTTGTTGTTTAGTAAAGCCTGAAATAATAATGGCTGAAAGAAAACTGCATATTTTTCCTGATTTCAGCAAAAAACAAATCAAACTGCTTGGAAATATTTGGTACAAAGACACAAAACTAAAGGAATGGCATTATAAGAGTACATATTTTATTAAAAATGTAATTTAATTTGACAAACTAATTAGCAGCAGAGTAGCAAAAAGATACAACATCCTGTATAATCACCACACATTTGTCTGATGTTCTTTAACTAATTTTGCCTTCATCAAAATCCAAAATATGAACCAAACATGTCTTTATGAATAACACAACTCTAGATAAAATAAATAAATAAAAGTCTGGGAATATATGTATTATCTCTTTAAGTTGTTAGTTACCTAATTAAGCAGCTAATATAGTTTTGTTCTCTTATGTTGCTCTGCAGATTACAGAATAACAAAAAGGAGACAGAGAACTCTTAAATTTGACAGAGGTTTATTCTATTTCTATTAAATTTGAAATACAGATAAACTAATGTTTAAGACATTTTGAGACATTGCAGCACTAGAAATCATTGTTACTTTTAAACTAGCAGTTTATCAGTGCTTTAATTTTGTAAAACCGTTATTATCCTACCCTGCAATCTAGTTTCTGGATCTATTAGAATCCAGCCTAAGCTAAATCTGATGTGAAGCATCTTTTAAATATTTTTTTACACATAGTTCTTGTTTAATAAACCATTAAAAAAAGGATAGAAAAATAGCTAAAATCGAGTGCAAGCTTCTCTTGTTGAAATGTATCACTTAAGCTGCAGAACTCAGGTGGAGGGTAGTTGTCGCAGGAGGAAACGATTACCAGAGTGATGGAAGTGAGATTTTAGGTGATATCTGGAAAATTGCTGCAGAACAAGAGAAAAAAACTGGTTATGAACACTTTGTCTTTCTGTCCGGAGTTCTGCATTTTTATTTTCCGGTTTCTAAAGGTTATTTAGAGGGAAATAAATGTCTACCCTTTAATGTTAGTCTCCTTTAGAGAGGCGTCAGTCATGAGTTTGTGTTATATCTGCAAAAGGTCAGGCGGTCGATATCTGAGATGGGAGCGGAAAGCATTTCAAGGTCATAAATATTGTGTGACCAGTGGAAGTGGGTCATTAAATCATTGACAACATACTCTATTCTTATTTGCATATCAGATTCCTCTAAGTCTGTGCTACCTTAAATAGTATCAGTGTAATTGGTCTTCAGATAGGGTAGATGTTCAATAACCAGACAATTAAACATCTATTACAGTTTTTACAACTTGGCTTAAGCAGTGCAGATTTGTAAACACCTAATGTCTGCTTGTGCCATGTGACTGTCTGCCTTGCCCTAATAAGGTGGGGATATATAATGGTGTTGGACCATAAGCCTATCAAGTAGAACCATGGCTTTGCTCTGCCTGTGAATGACAAGTAGTGAGAGGGTTGTAGTGAATGAAATGAAGACAAAAAGGAGGTGGAGAGTTTGAAGTGCTGTTTCAGAATCCGTGGGTGGAGAGAGCTTTTTTATTTATTAAAACATCAGCTTCTCGTTGCTGCAGGAATACCATAAATTAGAAACTGCTTTTTAGATTGTAGCTCAACAACTTGGGGTGTCCTGGCTGTGTAGGGGTTTAATTAATTCCTAGCTAATGCAAAGACAACCTTTCACATGTGTAAAACACTGTTTCATTTATTTTCTACACCATAAATAACTGAAAAAATAGTATCAAAAATTGAAAATAAGACCTTTCTCTTCTTTAATAAAGAAAATTAAATATTTATTGTGTTTTGAAATGATAAATAGAGCCTTTAAAAAAGGTGCGTGAGCGTGACTTCTCTTCTCAGTGAAAACGCTACTTCTGGTTATATAAGTGGCTGTGTGCTTCTTCAGCTCCCCTGAGATGGAATTGCTTTCCCTGATATCGAGGCAGGGAATCTACACTAATATGGTCCATACAGAAGAGCCATCTCACTACTTTGGGAGAGCAAATATACTTTAACAGGCTTTACTGAGCCAAGATGTCCCTCCTCTGCAGATTTGTCTTATTCAGCATTACTGTATAGCTCTAGGGAGCCTTTGCTACTGGAACTAGGTCCATTTGTCATAAAATATCTTCTTTTATCAGAAAGAAAATCTGCCCAAGTGAGCCAAAAAGTTTAGCATTATTTGAGATTAAGTAAAGCTTTACAAATGAGTTGGGAAAAAAAAAAAATAAAAATGCTACGGCTATGAACCTGGGCTCTAGAAAATCAGCTTCTCTCATTTTCATTTTTCTGAATTCCACCCATTTCCATTTGAATCCAATTTTCTTTCCCAATAAGTGTCTTGTTCCAAAACGATGAAAAATAACAATTCATGAAATCAGTACTCAAAGAATTCTGCATTTTATTGTTGTTTCTTTTACAATCTAACCAGAGCTGTGATCCATGTTGTATTTGCACAGTATTTAAAAATATTTCCTGATGGTTTTTATTGAGCAAACAATATAGTGTTGCAAATCAGAGAACCTGAACCATTTACACTTGAATGCACACATTACATTACAAACACAATAACTTCCCTACTCGTCTGATATGAACAAATAATGTGAGATTGATTGATTCTATTTTGTTTATTAAGTTCCATAATTCTCTTACAGTTTTCAGCATCATAGAACTCATAGTACCTTCTGGCCACAGCTAA